GACACCTTGCCAATCCCTGAACCAGTAGAAAATTAGCAGTCAATGAAGTTTATTAACCCATGAACTACATTCAATGGTGGATAATGCAGTGTTTTGAAATGTTAAATGTTAAGATATGAATACAATTATATTCATAAATTATTTTAAATATTTTATACATTAGAATATTTTGTTTGTATACTTTATATCTTAAAATATTTTTTTTGTACATTAATTTATAATTAAAAAATATATTATCTTAAAAGATAAAATTTGTTAATTAGACAAAATGATTCATTTTTTTATTTAAAAATATGAACTTTACCAGTTTTTAAATTATACACTAAATTTTTCATTTTTTTTATTTAAAAATATTAATTTTTAATTTTTATTCAACAATATTAACTTTCATTTTTTTTATTTAAAAATTTTTAGACGGAAATGTTAAGAGATAAATAGATTTTTTTTAACCAACGAAAGGGTTGTATCAAGTGGTAAGTAGTTTGTTTCACCTTAAATAAGATTTTAAGTTTGAGATCTTGTACGCAACAGCTCTTGTACGCAACAGCTCTTGTTGAGAGACTTATCTACTATTTTTAGGTGCGTGACGCGGGTCGGGTCTAAATTAATCGGGGCGAAACTCCATATACCGGGCGGGAAACCAAAAAAAAAAAAAAAGATTTTTTAAACCAAAATATTAAAATTTAACGTCCTTAAATTAAAAAAATTAAAAATTAATATTTATAAATAACAAAAATTAAAAATTAATATTTTTATTTAAAAATTTATAAATAACAAAAGTTAAAATTTGATATTTTTATTTAAAATTTTATAAATTTAACATTTTTAAATAAAGACAAATATAAACTTACCATCCTTATTTGTATTTTTTCGTGTAGATCCATGTAAGCACGTGAATCCCACTACATGCTAACATTGCTGCATTGATCCACGTAGATGCCATGTAGACACACTTATACACCATGGACATGCAGAAAAATGTTATGCAATTTTTTTATATAATGTTTATTATATATTATTAAAAGAATATTAAATAAAAGATTATAAATCCAATTAATGTAAAAAAATTAATTATTAAATATAATATGTAAAATTATATAAAATAATTATCTCTCAATCAATTTTTAATTTAAATTTGCCACTTAGGTCCATGTATATGCCTACTGGACACGCTTACTAAGTCAACCCACAGACAAAAACAAAATTTATTGTAAACTATATTAACTTTTATATTTCTTACTTAAGTCCTTAAATTTAAAAGTTGAAACTCCAAACACAATGAGAGTACCCTAAGCGTCTCCCTAACAATCCAATGTTTATACATATGAAAATGGAATATGTCATCAGCACAATGACAAACGGGGCCAACAACACATCGAAAATTAAAAAAGCCAACAATTAATCAATAAATATATAAAACTAAGAAACTTAGAAAATATGAGTTAAATACCAATTATAAATTTTAAAGTAGTTTGTTAAATTGTACTTAAAAATTTTTAAGTAAAATATTCTTGGTAATAGGAGCGCTAATGAGAATAAGGATGG